GTGTTTCTCCTCGTAAAATTAAAATCAGTACATAACAAAGTGCCTCCAGTGAAACCTAATGAAGTGTGTTCTGATGATTGTTGATCTCCGTAACAATAACTAGGTTTAAAATAATGTCATTCAGATGAACAGGTGAAATGTATTATGTGGACCTTATGTAATTTTCATAGTTAACATAGGATAGTTAAGTGTGCATATGAGTCAGATTTCCGGTCATTTCAATTAAAACTACGCTTAGATTAACGTTTAGTGGCTATGGAGTCGAGATTGACTATGGTAACCACTGAATACTTATTACAATCTTGTTACAGAGAAGATAAATAAATCCATGTTAAAGGGTTGTATTTGCTGGCGATTTCATGGTATCGAAAGAATACCGAAATCGAGCAAGTAAAGTGGGGTGAAATTACAGAGACAGTGGAGCAAAAATGGCGTACTAAATTGGTAACAGATTAAACGTACAGTTAAACCGTCATCGGTACAACTGGTTATAATAATAAATGTTGTACCAGTCACGTTCTCTTCATAAAAGTGGATCAACTACAAATTTTTTAAACAGTCCTTCAAACCAGTTTGCTTAAACTTCTTTAGTAAGTCGAAATAAATATATTTCTTCGCAGGATTTCTAGTGTAAATCCCGATAATCCAGAAGTCAGAGGAAAGACTATTCTGGATGAGGAAGTATATTTACCTCTAGCCTCGTGATATCGAAATAATTATGAGACTTGGGTACACGAGCGGCTAACAAGGAGCGAGGAGAAAGGCAGAGTGGTTAATAACACGCTTGGCGCGCGAGAGGCAGTTTTTAGTACAGATAAAGAAAAGGAGTACAATATAACAGTTATTGTCAGAATTAAGTACAATAATAAATGTTTATACTTTATCAGTTGTGTTATTGTCGTAAAAGTATACCACTACATTATTCCCCATCTAGAAAGGGTTTACACTTCCGATACATAGCGGTTTCGTGAGGAGGATGCTGGTCGGCTAAACGGCGATTGTAGAGTGGAACGGTTGATGGACAGGGAGCGACCAATGAAGCTCGAGTTGTCATCGAAAGTCCTTTACGTTAAACTGTATAAATAATAACGTGCCAAGTTTATTGTTCGGGTTGGCATGCCAAACTAGCGTGACTCGTATCCTGAGTCTAAAGATTGCGTTCGTAAAGGTCCGGACCAGAAAAAGCTACAGATGTAGGACCGAATCAGATTGAGCGAGAGAGCAAGAAACGGCCAGGACGACCAAGTTCGAAACTATGCAAATGCCAAATACGTTCGGAACCAGAACATCGACTGAGTGCATTGACAACAGAGTTTGAAAGTGGTAGACAGACTGAAAAAGGACGATAGTTTAGAAGACTCCCATATACAGGTACTTAATTTTCGACCTGTCTCTTTTAGTCCCTACGACTCAGAGGTCAGTTTGGGACCCGCCGCATTACTAACCAGAGGAAAATATTTGCTTACGCCCTAAAGTTTTTTCCTGGAGATCACATAGCTGCCGCCCATGAGGTCATTCTCGACCCTGCAGTCCCTGATGCCTACGGTCGCCTTAAACAGGCGATCCTCAGACATCTCCTCCCATCGAGGGAGAAACGGTTGAGGACATTATTAGCACGTCACCCCCTGGGTGATATTACACCAAGCTATCACCTCACGAGCCTGCAGTATTTAGCAGGATCTACCACAGCGAACTCTGAGACAGTCAGAGAATTGTGGCTTTAAGCTTCACCAGCTCACGTGCAGCCAACGATTAGTGCTCTGCTCTAGTATACGCCAGTTAACAAGGTTAGTCTCATAGCAGATAAGATAATAATTCAGATTAGCTCGTGAGATAACTACATAGTTGCCTATACGTCACACGCAAATGTTGACCTCGACGCTAATCACATTCCCGCTCAACGACTCCAGTGTTGCTGTATCCACAGCCGTCTCAGTTTTCGAGATCGTTTTTGTATTCCCAAACCCCATGACCTACGAGCATGCTCTCGATCAAGAAAGGCTGCAAGTACTCTCCCAAATGGGCATCTTCCAAGCCACGCCCAAAGGCTGCTTCGGAAAGGAAAAGCGGCTGGTGTTGGTTCTGCCAGACTTTAAGGTCTGGCGCCCGTCATTGTCGAGCCTTTTGATCATACATAGTGGGAAACTTCCTGGTTGACGAATAAACACGGCCGCTCTAAATCTAACTAATTCAGAGCAATACCATGACAATGATTTTGCTGCATAGGCCATATAGGTTAATCATCTCAAACGTGAGCTATTCGTGCAGAAGCTTTGTGTTAAGCTGTCACTGTATCATGACTCTAATACCGAAATTCACTCTATTTATGATTTGGATAACATTTAAAATTACATGGAGGCCAATTTTTGAAAAAAGTCTAAGGTGAACGTTATGTTCTTTTAATGTAAAAATAACTTGGCTTAAAATAACAGAGTTTCACAATTCTGATTTTTAGATGAAAAGAATATCAATTATTCTAAAGGAATTCTAAGCGAGTGTTTTAGTCAATTCTCAAATCTTAATTTGAAGTTCAATAAGAATAATCGATGGGAATTATGTGAATCTGGACATCATCGATACTAAAACTGACTGTATCACAAGTATCGTAAATACTGACTTCAATGAATGCAAGCGATTCCATTTCCGGGATTAACACTACAACAAGACATTAGTGCCAAAAGTGACTAGTGTCTAGTAATAAATGTGGTGTTATAATTTGAACTGAAAAAAACTACAAAGCATCTTGTTGAAACAGAACTATATCAGTCACAAAACTATTGTATATACATGAACCTCGTTTAAGTGATAAAAATATATAAATGTTGAGAGTATCAATTAAATGTTTTTCAAATTTTAACCATTTCAGCATTGTTAAATAACAAGTTGTGGTGGGAATTCCGAAATCAAATCATTGTATTAATTATCAACTTACTTTTCATAACTTTGTGCTGAAATAATTACAACAAATATATAAACACCAGAAATAGAGATAGTGAATACACCTGTAGTGTTATCATATCCATTGCCAAGATTCAACATAACTGATTCAAATGTTGATTTGAATTTCAATCATTTGAAAGTATACCGTTAACTAGACATGATGATATTGGAGCCGAGCTAAAGAGGAAGTAACCTCTACTACTACTATTACTGAAAACGGATAAATATTGATCTAATCAATTTGCTTGCCTATAGATCATCTGTAGTAAATAAGATGGAGAATTTCATATTTGGCAGCTTAATTCGTCATAAAAAGTTAAATCTATTTAAACCTCAATTAACGTGAAAACATTACTTTCAGATACTCTCTCGATTTAAATTCACTTGTATATCATTACCAATACACTGTGATGCTTTTTAGAATGATGATAATATGGATTATGATGACTAGTTGTTAAGAACATAGATTTATTGATTTTAAGATAAAATGAATTATCTCATTTTATCACTGAATATTCATGATCGCTAGTAACGGGATTATTTTAGCATTGAGATAAAATATTATTAATCTATCTGGGTGATAAGCAGCTTATTTTAAAGGTATGCTTGATTATGAAATAGCATCAGCTGACGTATCACTGGAAGTATTGATTTTACAGAGTTATCATTTGTATGGATTTAGCTTCAGTAACGTATATAACCGTTGACTCTAAATGTATTCCTAGCATGCGTTAGTTTTGTGAACAGAAATTGAATACAATATTGATTCGTTCTGGCAATCGACATTAGTCTTTCTTGCAAACTGCAACTTTTCCAAAATGGAATATAACTGTCGAAATCCTGACAAGAATCTTGACTGTACTGTTTTAACTGTAAGTTACAACCTTAATTCTGTTTTTTTCTTGACAGTTCTACATAACATGCTACTATTCACAATACTTTCACGACCCATTGTTTGAAATCCAGTCAGCCTTCTAGTATGTTGCAGTGGATGTATAAATCTGCACTATCGATCCAATTAGTACCTATCATTCTAGAAAATAAATTTTAATCCGGTTACATTTCCGGTACAGCTTCTTTTCATATCCTTTGTATCTTTTTTGGGCAGGTGCTTGAAATATCTTGAGAAATTTCAAGGATATTTTGCACAAAACACATTCTTAGAATAGAAACTCGAACTCATTTCATACATCAACTAGTAGGAAACATTGGCATACTATTTAACGAGTGTTTGACGCAACTTAGTTTTTATATGATAGCATACGATAGACTGAGATTTTCTAGCAACAAACAGCCCAGACTGTTATGTAGAAACCTGAATTAATATTACGAAATGGAAAAGTAACAAATCTAAACAAATAAGTGTAAACCTGAAGCAGCAATGCATATCGTCCAAAAACACAATGAGCAATAAACACTTGTCATTCAGATGTAAAACACTTTATTTTCTGGCTTTGTGCAAATCACACCAAAATTACGGTCAACGTTGACTTGCAGCTGTCTTCACTGATAAATTGTTTTACGACTTAACCACCGGTTCAAGTCTAAACTCGAACACGTAACATGGTCAGTTATGCGCCTATATGAAGATAGTATATTACTCTTTTCAGGATACCTTTATTTTATTTTATCACATTGTACTGTGAAGAATCAGGAAGAACACTGTAACTACACATCCAATGTAATTTATGTGGTTACCTCTTTTTCTGACTGTCTACATGGTATGATGCTCTTTTTCTAATTCGTACATCTATAATGTCATATTCGTTGAAGTGATGTTGTAATGAATTCGTGCTTAAATGGAAATGTAGTGTAGTTTTGATGATCAGATTCTTGAATTACTTCAAAACACCTAGTCTTCTAGTTTCAGTAATATATTTCGATGGTTAAAATTTACAAAAACGATAGAGCATAAATTTTTGTACGAAAACTTAAAAATCTGTACAACTTTGTCATGTATTTTGTTTCCCTAGCTGCAGTTGAATGTCATCATAAAGTGAATCAAAGTAGAAAGATTATTATGTATTAAAAAAGATTTTAAGGCTTTGAATTAATTTGTGTTATAAGAAGTAAGGAGTGATTCTCAAAGGCGGTTTAACTCGTTGTTCATCTGGTACAGCCTCAAAAAGTTTGGCGTCAAATAGTGACGGACTTTGGAACTCCAAAATTGCTGCTATATTTCCGCAACGGTAACAGTAATTTGGAGCTGACCAAATAGTGATTAGACGTCCATCAAACATACACTTGAAACCTTCACGCACAAGTTGGTGAGCTCTACAAATAGACACTAAACCATTTAATTCAACAAATTCATGGGTAACCTGAAAGTGATTTACAAAAATAGTGACAGTTGTAAGCAAATAATGCGATTAAAAAAAAATTTATAACATTTAGAAAATTTAGTGAATATTAGGAAGATTTATATAAATGTATGCTTTTGATTTTGGAGTAACTAGACTATGAGCGAAGAAAATATGAAATCATTTTGTGTTAAAACCAAACAGTGTTCAAGTTTTCATACAAAACGCACAATACTGAAGGTCCCGGGTTCGAATCCTGCAAGGTGCAGGGGTCGTGGATGCGCACTGCTGATGAGTCCCATACCAGGACGAAACGGCCGTCCAATGCTTCCAGGTTTCTAATGGTGGTCTAACAATGATTGATTGATGATTTCAAATGTGTAAAAACTCTACATTGCTTATTCCTATTCATTATACTGTATAGCGATCAGACAGTCAAACGTTTAATAAACGTACAGCGTGCGTGTCAAGTTTAAATGGATAGGTAAGGATCTCAGTGACAAGCACTTTTATTAGGCTTCAATTAACTTATTCTTCAGATTAGCGTTTTGAAGCATCATAAATTCTAACTCATTAAACAAGGATTCACATATTTATTTGCTTTTAATGAAAAAAAGATTGAATTTCATCAAGAGTTAAAAGTCCATGACTGTCCACTTTCTCCATTTTTGTTTAACTTTATCATTGACAAGGCAACAGAGATAACATTTTCATCATATGACTTTTTAGGAAGTTCACTCGTTGACTTAGATTATGCCGATGACACAGTTTTATTTAGTGAAGACACTGTTGAAATGCAGTCTTTAGACAACTTTAAGCAACAATCCAAGTATGTTCGAGAAGCGGTTCTCTTCCTCGAAATGCAAAATGATGCGTCAGGATTGGCTTGCATCAACACCTGAACTAATGATAGGGAGTGAAGCGGTTGAGCGTGTTGACCACTTTACTTATATATCAGTAGTCTCATCAGCCCTGATAACCTGGTATCTGACGCAATATCGGTACGGACACAGAAGAATCGACTGGCTTTTGCCAACTTGCGTCACTCTTGGCTCAGGCGAGATATTCGTCTGCTAACCAAAGGACGAGTCTACTGCGTAACAGTTCGCTGCGTCCTACTATTCGGGTGTGAAACATGGCCACTAAGATTAGATGATATTCGTAGGTTCCTATTATCCGACCATAGGTGCCTTCGAAGCATTGCTCGAATGTCGTGGGACCACCGAGTAAGCAATGCTAGAGTTAGGAAACAAGTACTAGATAAGAATGGCAGATTAATAGACGAAGTAGTGGATCTTCATTGATTGGGGTGGTTGGACATGTGTTACGAATACCCAACCACTGACTACCTCAACGTGCAATAACTTTGTAGTGTAGGGGTAAGCCGGAAGAAAGCCAGTGACGATAGTGACTAAAACATGGCACAAATCTATGAAGTCACTCATAACTGTATAGAGCCAGACTACCAAGTTGGGGTCCACGAGACAATCGTAACCGATGGTTAGAGACACTATATGACATGGCTCAAAATCGTTTGCAATGGCGCCGGTGCAACCATTACTTGTGTTCTCCTAAATCCTAATCTTCTGAATTCTTCATCACCTTCACCTTTTTCTTCTCAAATTTATTCCATTGGATGATACCCCATTACCGCAAATACTTTTACTACATTCACTGCTACGGGATTCGAATTGACAATTGTGTCTTTGAGCTGTTATGGTGTGGCAAATGGAACTGATGTACGTACGAACGTAAGAAGTCCTACGACGTAACTGACTGACTGACAGTAAAAGTTTGTACAACGTGCTTTGTGTTTGACGGCAGGTGATACCAGCCGATTGGTTCGAGTAAAATTGAAACACAATGGTTGAAATCTGTAATTTGGTGATAAAAAAATAGAATGTTTCAAAAAATAATTCACCGCTCTACTCAGCTTTTACCAGTATTAAATGTACTGAATTCGTTTTGACTACAGCTGTATACCTTATCCTCAAGATCCTTTTATTTTTACTTCGGTCAGTCACTTTCAACGTAAAACCCGATACATCGGTTAGAGTTTTCATACCCTGTTAGCACAGAGAGATGAAACTGTTAAGTCAAATCCCATAGTAGCAGGGATATTAGCAGTATTGGTGGTAACAGAAGATATAAATTAGTGAAGTAAATACCTCCTTTCTTCTACACTGCCGTTAAAACTTCTGTCCAAAGATCACTAAACAGAATAACGAGATTTTAAGAGAAATGATAACGTCATGATAATACGACTCGATAAATGTCTTAATGAACACAAAGGATTAAATCGCTTAGATAAAGCCCATTTTAGGCGATCAAACGGGATTCAAAGCAGACAAAAGTGTAACAAGCACTTTAACGATTTAACCAAGAAAAGAACCATGGATGTAAGCCAGGATCTCTTCAAGAAAATAATCGGTAATTTTACCCAGAATAATCCAAGACGTCGTGGGTTTTGTTTGCCGCACATGTATGGTTTACTAAAGATACACAAACAAGTTCTTCAACTTAAACCTATTGTGTCAACGGTCAATTCACCATGCTACAAAGTTTCGAATATAGGTTAGAACAATTTCGTCAGTGATTAGCTACACATACATTAAAATACTTATTTGAATTATCCGGCAGTATAAATACTGTTGGTAAGTCGGTTTCTTTTCAAGCAACACCACTGTTCATCAAAATAACGCTTAATGAATCTGAAGACATAATTGCCAGCATTCTGACATTCTGCATCAACCAATTCCAGCAATTGTTAATCATATGTACAAAGGACGTACAGTAATATCAAATGCCGCCAAACTGGTAGTCTATCGGTGAGGAATCCGTTAAATCTCTTACCATCAAATATTTTCATGGCTAATCTCGAAAGAACCAGACTTAGAAAAACAATCAATGAAATGGTGAATTACTCATGGGATATCGATGAGACTTTCATCGTACGTAATAGTTAACATCTGTTCCTTAAAGTCTTCTACTCATCGATTCGATCTGAATAGAGTGAAACACAGTTCCATCTTTTTCTGAGAAAGTCTCACTAAAGTCAGATTTCTAACAGCAGTTTCCTTGATAAGTTTAGACAAGTGTCTACTACTTATGGCATAGATGAGATAGATTATTATTAACTCACACAATAACGCTAAGGCAGTTGGATAATATCGTTAAGGGTAGATGTGGCCAAGCTTTTAGATAGAACTACCCGGATGACAGTAGTTGGTTTGACACTAATTACATTAGTTTGAACATAGTCTACACATATTCCTCCATATTAATGTTATCATTTAAAATGCTATACACATATTAAAAAAAGAAAACAATAGTCATACTTTTGGTCCAAATAAGTATCCTGCACCACGTGGACTAACAGCCCAATGAGCTACATCATCAGGATCTGACCACAAAATGTCACAAAACGGACCTTTGTTGGGTATTTCCATATGTCTGTCGATTGTCCGGATTTGATCCAGCGTTTTGATTTGAGGTGACAGACCTCCATGAACGCAAAGGACTTTTTCTCCAACTAATGCAGCTATTGTAAGAAGGTCGAAGACTTGGCAACAATAATGCCATGGATTTGCATTGCCATATTTATTGATACATTCATCGTAGAAGCCATAACACTGAAAATAAGCATGAATTCGAAAAGACAGCACATTAGATGATACCTATAACGTTTATAAAATATTTGGACATAGTGAACGCTAATTACCAGGCATTTAATCGATACTAAGTTTTCCCTTTTTTATCTGGATAGCACTATCATCACCTACAGATTGCGGAAAGTACGATGGCTTCAGTTTGATTGAAACATTTTGTTTATACTATTCTCATTATTACATTATGTAAATTTACATTTATCAACTGCTTATTAAGAAAAGCATAAGGCTATGGATAAAAAGTTAATTTGGTGGGATGACCACGTAACAGGTGCTAAATAATCACACTGTCCAAACATAAAGGATTAATAAAGTAATTTATTTCCAAAATTTAATTAAGATGTAGACACCAAAAGAATCAGGATCTTACAAGTGAAGGCCTTGGACAACTCTTCTGTGACTTTTTATTCATAGTTCATACGCACACATTAAAACGTAGAACTTCGTACGTGCGTACGTCAGTTCATGTTGCCATACCACATTAGCGCAGAGACGCAATAGTCAGTTCAAATACCATAGTGGTAGAGATAGTACAAGTATTACTGGTAATGGAGAAGATTATGGTTCGAAAATATTATTCAAGAAGTAGATTCTAGTGAGATAAACTTAAAAAGAAAAAGGCATTGAGGAATTCAGAAGATTAGAATTTCAGAAAACACAAGGAATGAATGCACCTGCGCCATTGCAAACGGTTTTGAGCCATGTCATTCAGGGTCTTTAACCACCGATTACTATCATCTTTCGGGCCCTAACCAGGTAGTCAACACTTACCAGCATGACTCAATTCAGAGTTCAACTGCTTTTGAAAACATCAGTAGTCAAACGTACGTATTCAACTTGTTACCGATATCTCTAACAGTGTACTTCATTATATACTCACATCTTTCAGGGATTGTCACGAATGCAAAGACTCCCCGCCAAGCAATTATTATGAACTAATATGTAGCAAACAATCGTATATTGTTTCTGGTTAATTGGTGGCAAGCTGTTTTTAATGAACGGGAATGCTTTAACAGTGATCAAATCAGATTCTTAACATTTGAACTAAAGATTATAATAAATTAACTCATTCACTAGGTAATGGGCATGGGCCATATTATAAGTATGAGGGCTAATGATACCGATCAGCTGTTCAATCTAAAGGTAGTGGGGGTTCGAACCTGGGTAAGATGAAGACGCTTATTTAATGGAAACTCAAATGGTTTGTGACTTCTCTCTAGTCATTAGGAGTGAGGTAAGTGCGCGAGACCAAAATTAATGAACGAACTCTGAGACACCAAAGTAGATGAGAAAACTCCTACTTACTTCGGTCTGTAGACTTACAAATTAGTGAAGGATTAGAAATGTGGTTTTGTTACATGTTACGGTTAGGAATTAAAGTTAGTGTCTCATCCCGAACTGACATCAGATACAATGTCAAAATGCTATGTACGCGAATGGATATCAAACCAAAATCGAAGACTAATTATGTTAAATCTGATAACTGATTAACAAATTATGGTATCGTCGTTGTTTGCTTTGAGAATAGGTTATAAACGTTTACCTGTTACTATGATCACTAAGATTACAATTGATAATTTTGTTAACGTGCCTAACAAAAGCAATCGTTAAAATCGTAAACACACCATTAGAGGATCGTTAATCTTCAGTAAATATGAACGTAAGCAACTAATTAGGCCAATAATTGAAAGACAGTGAACTTTAAAACTGAACAACCCACTAGTACTTTCCAATTACTCAGTTCGGGAAGGAAAAAAGTCTGAAATACACATCTTAGTCCTGGAGATGGAGGTCACATAGTTGGTCTAGTCATCTTTACAAATAGCTGAACTACGCTGAGACGATAATCATAGGTGCCTTCAGAGAATTGCCGGTATATCTTGGGACTATCGAGTCGGCAGTGTTGTTAGGAAACGGGTACCAGGTAAGCATGATAGATCAATGAATGAAGTGAATCTTTATCAATTCAGTTGGTAGTGACATGTTACGAATGACAAGCAGATAAGCACGTCATACTGAAAGGCATGAAATATTAATAAAACCTGACCAGTATGACTAGCAATGCAGGTGTTTTACCTGAGTAATCTGTCGGCTTTCATGGTTTCCTCTTAATAGAGTTATCCGTGATGGGTATTTGGCTTTCAAAACAAGAAGAAATGTGAGAGTTTCGAGACTATAATACCCGCGATCAACAAAATCTCCCATGAAAATATAATTTATGTCTGGTAGTTTGCCTCCTCTGCGAAACAACTGCAGAAGATCATAAAACTGTCCATGAATATCACCACAGATAGTAACGGGGAAAGAGACAGGCTGTACATTGCACTCTTCGATCAGCAACTCACTAACATAGCTGCATAATTTTCTAAGGTCATTTTCTGGAAGGTATTTACAAGTTTTGACAGACTCTATCCACTGGTCTAAGAACATTTTAAAGGGTTTTCGAGACGGACATTATAAACCACATGTCACTGTTAATGTAAGCCTGCGTTTAGGAAGAAAGTTCCTTGTGTGCCGGGGATGTGAGGTTATCTGGAAGAGAAGAAGTAAGCCGACGACTCAGAAACCACTTACTTTTGATAGAAAAAGTAATTTATATTGACCGGAAACAACACAAGCACGAGACTAGCATAAGCTGACAATCGGAAGTAGAAATTGGTAGCGTTAGCTTTCGAAAGTGTTACACCAATATCCAATATCCAATATCTTTTTCACGAGCTAGTGTAAACCAATTTGATTTCTTCGCGCTCGATTTTTGTTCTTTCGGTTCCAGGTTCCAGGTGTTCGGTAATGTCCAATGGATGGAGGTCTAGCCACTCGACTGTCTAATTCTAGTCAGTTGGCAGTTGGTTGTGAGTTTGTATGTATCGGGATTTGAATGAAACGTTTGTTTCAGGGCAGTAGGGTTTCTGGATACTAGCAGCCGTCACATTACCAAACCGGAGATCAATTAGTTGCAGGTCTCGAGTGTTACGGGAGGAATGAAGACGTTTTGCTGATTAAAACCTTTGTATAAATATCATTAATTTCACTGTGTTTTTGGGGTATATTAGTTTTACTTAACTTATGAACTTGTTTGAATTATTATTTTCGACCATTTTGGACTCCTGTTTGTCTTGGTTGTTCGTTTGCAGTTTTTTGCTCCAGGAATCTATAAAATAGAAGGTAATTGTAATTATTATAATTATTGTTGTTAGAACGACATTGGTCGTCTATTTGTAATAAACCAACAATATTTTGGTCGATTATTTGTGAATTGGCAATAAACTTTGGTACCTACTTTGGAGTTTCGTTTTGACATAATCTTTGGGATCGTGAATTGCAAATAGATCGACACACAGTGCTTCTAAGGATCAAGGAGCAAAAAATTGGACGTAACAAAAGTTCTTCTATTTTAATTTTTGGTCGTTGGATACTTTGTACACTTCAAGTTTGGTTCTTTGGTCATACGCTGGATACTTTTGGTCATTTGGGTCCAAAGTTACTTCAACTTTGATTCTATTGTCGTACATTGGATAGCTCGAGACATTTTGGCTCCAGGATATTTTGCGTGAAATTTTTGTTATTATTGGTCGAATACGTTTGGATTAATTTCACATTTGCTTGGTAATCGATTTCGAACAAAAGCATACAATGGAAACTAGAAGCAAAAAGCCGAAGGAGAATGACGAAATGGATGGTAAAATTTCTAAAGCTGTTTGTGGTATGTCTGACTTTAATGATGATAAACGTGATGATATTAGTGTTAATAGTAAGTCTTCATCTCAGTTTAGTACTTCTAGATTGAGGTTAGAAAGGGCATTACTAAGGAAGAAGAATTTGGAAAAGAGACTTGAGTTAGAAGGACAGCTCAAAATGTTAGAACTTCAAGAGGAGTTTGAAATGGCCGAATTACAATATAAGGTCATGGAAAACTATATGGAAGTGACTAGTCATATGCGGGCGAGACATGAGGATTCTTCAAATGCGTTTACACCTACTTCACACTCGGAATTTAAGAGAGTTGTTAATTGTATCAGAAAGGTATCCCCTTTTGAAAACCGAGTATGTGACCACGATGGTTTAAAACCCCTTGATGCGTATCCTAGTGAGAAGCCGGTTTGTGTATCAGAAAAGATGGCTTTTTTGAGTATGGAAAAGAAAGAAAAAGGCGAAAAGGGTAGGCATCAGGATGGATCCGAGGTGTGTGATGGTAAAAGCCTCTTAACTGCTCGAAAAGCAAGGAACGGTTATTTGGATTCGAGCAAACAGAGGTTAGTGAGTACAGTGAATATGAATAAGGACAAACAGGATTGGCTGGATGGAATAAAGCTTATGTTCGGAACCCTTCACGTAGGGTAAATTATTTAACAGGACCTAGAGTTGATCCTAGGACAACAAGTGTAAATAGTGACACAGCACTTCATGTTGCTGAGCAATCAGGATGTCTGCAGGCTACTATATCTAGTTCTATGGAGCATCATGATATTGAAGCGGAAGATAATAGCAGCTTAGCGCGTCCTGCTGATGTTTGTTTACGGTCAACGGATGGACAGTTGTATACTGGTCCAAGTAGTCATAGCAACATTGATAGTGTTAGTGAAAGTGGTAGCATAGCTTTAAAGCCTGCATGTCAACTATCTTGCAACTCGTCATTAACTATGAATAGTCGGAACATCAATCCAAAGTAGATACCAAAGTTTATTCCAAATCACAAATTCGACCAAAATACTTTATTACAAATAGACGACCAACGTCGTCCTTCTAATTTATTAGCTCTTGGAGCAAAAAACTGCAAACGAACAACAAGGAGAAACGGGAGTCCAAAATGTCCGCAAATAATAATTCAAACAAGTTCACAAGTTAAGTAAAACAAATGTACCCAAAAACAGTGAAATTAATGATATTTATACATGAAGGTTTTGATCAGCAAACTGTCTTCGTTTCTCCCGTAACAATAGGTAGTGCTGTTTCTTCGGTTGACGTGGCTAATGTAGCTTCTTTGAGTACTTCGAATCAAGACGAAATTGGATGTTTGAGCGTAGAGAATGTAGGCGTCGGTGGCAATAGCTTTAGCCACAGTGATGGCAGTACTGTGAGGGCTAACATTCGGTACCCTAGGTGCAATGAGGAGTCATCTAGGTTTCATGGACATGCTGTTGTGTTGAATTTTGAGCATGAGGAATCAAGCATGGAATTGTCCACCTGTCGCACTCCACCATCATTGACTTGTACTTCAAGTATCGGGATGAGCACTACCAACAGTGATAAGATAGATGCGGTTAAGAGCATTACTAGTAAGGAAAGCAATGTTGATCGAGTAGAGTTATCCACTGTGCATGAGTCGACTGGATGTCATGAAAAGTGTACTACTGCTTGTACAGCTGCGGCTACTAATAATAATAGCATTGATGATACTCCTGCGAGTATTAGTGATCGATGGAAGTTGAAAGACACTCATCGTCGTCGAAATGATCGTACGTTACGCTCACATACTGCTACGAAAGCTAAGAAGCATAAGAAAAAACATGATGCTACTATTATTAAGAAGCCTAAACTTCGTTCTCTTTCGGATGCTATGACTAGCAATGGAAATAGTAGTCATCAGAATCTTAGTAGTGACAGCGATAATAAGGAGACAGAAAGTGTGAGCAGTCCACTTATAGCGACTAGTCGATCAACTTCATCGAACGAGCTTTCTAGTGTTTCGACGTCATCGGACCTTGTCGCGAATGCTAAGTTGATTGAGGATACACAAGGTTGTGTAACTGTAAGTGTTCCTACTTCGGTTGACTGTCAGTCGAGTGATGATGAGAAGGAAGCGTCTGATGGTAACAGCCAGTCTGCAGTGATGCATGATAACGATGCTATTGATGTGCATATGTCTTGTGTCTCTAAAACGGAACATGAAGAACAACGAGTGAGTTTATCGGTTTTGGATTGCGATACTAATGCTGTTCTTTCATGTAGCGAGATGCGTTATACAACAATGGAAGAGTTTCACTCTACGGATTCTAGTGTAGCCAGAAACGAAGCGACTTGTCTGACAGAACGGAATCATGATGACGATGATAATTATCTTGATGCCACTGATATGGCAAATGAGTTGCCGACGATGACGAATGCTGATCAAACCTCATCTGTATCAGTAGATTGAGAGATAAATATTGGTCCCATGTTATGCCAATTAGAGTCTTCGGAGACGAGGAAATGTCAAAATCGGAGATCCCACCCTTGCATATTATCTATGGGTCAAGAACTTCTGTTGATAAGTCAGCATAACGGACTTCTTCGTATCTGCCGTTCAGAGCAAGTGGTGGTGGATTGACGACTCATCCCCATGACATGGAATGTAATTCACGGATAGGATATGACCAACTTAACGACGTGTTGTACATGCTCTTGTGGGTTAATTGGATAAGGTTTATACTACCTTTAGGTCATGCTACGATAGATAGTGGAATCAAGGGCCTGACGGGAACTTACAGGTACCTAGTTAGCTTGATAGGTCATATCCATGTTGGAGGGCGTGTAGGCGTACTGCTGTAAGTCCTACTCGTTCTTCCGGTGTGGATTAGGGGATGAGAGTGAACCCTAAGTTGAAGTGTCAGAAAGAGCTTGTTTGTTGCATGGAGGGATTTTGCGAACCGGTGTAGAATCTTTTTTGAATGTTTTGGTTTTTGCTTATTGTAAAAGGAGGAACGCCCATCCAATTCTACAACTAATGGCACGATTCCCTGCGATCAGGTTAGAAGGTGGTGACTATCCGTTCTTATCAGTTGGAGTAGATTGTTTTGGACAACTTATGGTTAAACATGGTAGAAATACTGAGAAGCGATACGGTTGTGTATTCACTTGTTTAAGGTTGAGAGCTGTGCATCTGGAAGTGGCATATAGTTTTACCACCGATTCACTTATCATGGCACTAATGAGATTTGTCGGCAGAAGAGGTTATCCAAAGGAGTTTTATAGTGATAATGGATCAAATTTGGTGGGAGCTGAACGTGAATTAAGAAAATGTCTTCAAGGTTGGGTACAGGAGCGTATACACTCTGATTTACTAAGAAAAGGGATTGACTGGCATTTCAATCCTCCAGCCGCTAGTCATTGGGGAGGAGTGTGGGAGCGTATGATTCGCTCTGTACGTAGGGTATTGGTTGCTCTTGTAAAGGAACAAATTTTAACAGATGAATGCCTTGAAACTTTTATGATAGAGGCGGAGCGTATAATAAACAATCGACCTTTGGTTCCCGTTACAGACGACTCAAACAATCTTGATGCAATAACACCATCAAAACTAATACTATTGAGAGAGAATGTTGCAGAATTTACTAACACTCTATCTAATGACAGGTATTCTAAGAGATGGAAGCAAGCGAATTACTTGGCGCAAGTATTTTGGAAACGTTGGTCTAAGGAATATGTTTCGCTGATGCAGCGTAGATACAAGT